GTTAAGCGTCTGCCTTCGGCTCAGGTCATGATCCCAGGGTCCTGGGATCGAGCCCCGCATCGGGCTCCCTGCTCGGCGGGAAGCCTGCTTATCCCTCTCCTGCTCCCCCAGCTTGTGTTCCCTCTCTCGCTGTGTCTCTCTCTGTCAAATAAATAAAATCTTTAAAAAAAAAAAAAAGCTCTTCAGATGTCAACACTAGCATTAAGGACTAGGTGACAAGTATGTGAATGAGATGGGACCTTCAGATTTTGCAAATTTGGGAGGTTGGTATGAGTCCTAAGGATACAGCTTTAAACATAGAAGTTGGCTAAGTGATGGATACTGAACGTTTGTCTTCTCACAAAGTACCAATTAAAAATGTCCAGTGGTATCAATTCCTTGCCGTATGAAGAATCAGATATTATTTCAGTCTGGTCCTAAGACTATTAGCTTCTTAAACCACTACTGAAAGTTGAGCTCCTTTTCTCTCCAGAGAGCATCTCAATTTCTGGCTTTCCTGACTGACTGGTTTCCTTCAAAGCTATGTGAGGAAGACCCTAATTTCTGCTTCTCTTCTCTTGACCTCATTCATTCCCTAACCCCCCACCAGTCTTCTATCCCCACCTATAGTTTCAGGGATGCTTTTTGGCTTCATCAACTCTTCTTAAGGATCATAGTTGGGAGAGGACGTGCAGGTGAAGTATGGCCATTAAAAATGATATTTATTTGGTATTTATTTATATTATCTAAAATATAAACTATTTTGTGGCATAGGTTTTTTGGAGATTGTTACCACCCTTAAAGTGGTTCATTTAATTTTCTAAATTCTCATTGTACTCTTTGAGAAGTGACGATTCTGAATACATATTGAAGGTAAAGTGAACAGGGTTTCCTAAAGGATTGGGTATAGGATATGAGAGACTCCCAGGTTTTGGCCTCAGCAACTAGGAGGATGGAGTCCTCAGCAACTGAAATGGGAAAGCCTGTGGATAATGCAGATTGGTGGCATAGGGTGAGGAGGATGGGGAGTTTTGTATTGGACATGTAGTATTTATGTCATACTTTTAGACAATCAGGTGAAGAAGTCTAGTGGGCAATGAGTGTAGACATTGGAGTTCATGAGAAAGTCTTGACTGCAAATATGAATTGGGAGTCACGGATACATAGACAGTATTTAAAGCCCCTAGAGCACCAAGGAACTGAGTGAAGATAAAAAGGAAAAAAGAACTGAGCTCTACCTTAAAAGTTGAAGAAGAGAAGGTAAATGAGGAAAGAATGGGAATGAGCAGCTACTGAGGTAGAAAAAAAAACAAAGTGTGGCATCCTAGCAGCAAGTGAAGAAAGGCATTTGGAAGGAGACATTGATCATTGAATCAAATGCTACTAAGAGATCAAGTAAAATGAGGACTGCAAAGTGGCTAGTGAGTTTAGCAACACAAAGATCATTGGTGATCTTGACAAGAGCAATTTTGGTGGACTGATGGGGGCAAAAGCCTCTTCCAGAATGGATTTAAGAAAGAGTAAGAGGAGAGGAAATGGTATGTTTGAGACAAATTCAATTGAGAAATTTTCCTGCAAAGGGAAACAAAGAAATGAAGCAGTAACTACAGAGAAACTGAGGTCAAGAGAAGTTTTGCTGTCTGTTTTTTTGTTACTGCACAAAAAACAATTCTTCTGGCTACATCTTCACAGAGACCTGTTCAAAGCCTTGAGTTAATTCATGGCATATTCCAGTAAGAATGGGTGGCTTTGATGGATTTCCTAATCATTTGTGTGGCCTCTAATTTGACTTCATTTGTGCATGACATGGTTAATAATAACTGTAAAGATCAAGAAAGAAGAGAAATTGATTACCTTTGTAGTCAGAAAACTCAACCAGGGCTGAACTCTTCTCTGGGAAAAGCTGCACATTGGTTACTCCTTCTCTTCCATTTGTGGGGTTCTCAAAGAAAGTTGTTACATAACTCTTATCAACACGAGGTGGCAGATTTTCAACACTGATGGTTCTTGTCAGTTCCAGAAGTCTTGGGAAAATCTGAAGTTGCTGAACTCTATTGTGTCCGACAAAAACATAACAGATGTCCTGACATCTACAAATAAAAATCAGTTTGTTGGTACTATAATTTCATTTCATAGCAAAAGAAAACAGATTTGAAAGAGTAATTTGATTTAGAGGCTGTAACTAAGAATTAAAATTTAGATACTATATTTCTACATAAATTTAAATTTCACAGTGTCAACTTCAACCTATCCCACATTGCTTACTGTGAGTGCATGAGTGCACAGCTATCATTAACAGTGGCCTCCACTTAAGACCATTTTGGGAACATAGATCAATAGCTACCTTTCTAGATGAAATCAAGTATGTGCAGTCACTTTGTAAGCTGATAATAATAATGATGATGATTATAATATAATATTGTTTCCTAAATCTAATTTCTCTCTCCCCCACCCCCGCCTTACTTCACCATATCTTGGTCTCTATTTGGACATATCATTGTCATAAAAATAAACTCCTATAACTATTAAGCTCATGGGATTTGAGGGCACATTCACAATGGTTAAGAAAATACACTCAGAAGTCAGAATGTCTAATTTGGAATTCTGATTCAAATACTTACTAGCTGTGTGACTGTGACCAAGTCATTTAATTTTCTTGAAACCCGGATTTCTTCATCTGTAAAATGGGGATAATAATGTACCTATCTCATAGTGCTACATGTTTTGAGATGAAGTAAGTAAAAACTCAGCACAGTGCTTAGCATAGAGCAAGGCGCTTGATAAATGCTAGGTATTAGTAGTACCAGAAGGAATAATACACAATCCCTTGGCAATTATCTTACTGGGAGTTAGAGCACAACTTTTAAACAAAACCCACTGTGGGATGCCTGGAATCTCAAAGTAGGATACAACCACAATTTGCAAATGAAAGGTTAAAAGGTATTGTCTGTCTTACCAGTATTTTTGGAGAAAAGTCATGACAGCAACTTTAATATTGGGTATTACTTCCACCCTGAAGTCACCATTGGCTTCTGACAGGCCACTAATCGACTCCATAAGCAAGGAGAGCACATTCTCCATCATGGTGTCTTGGATATTGTAAAATGCAACCAAAAGGGAGGCTTGTGAAGGGTCTTTTGAAAATTCACCTATTTCATCCACTTCCAGTTCATCTGTTTTATCCACTCTTCTGAAAAGCATTACTTTTGTACTGAGGTCTTCCAACTTAGCAATTTTGAGAGAGACAGAAACACTTAAGATGTTAGTTTTTACATCTGATTTGAGATTTGAAAGGATTTGGCCTTTATATTACTTTCCGATGTTTTAAATGCTTTGGAAGAAAATAGATTTCACTCATTGCCTTATTAAAAAAAAAGACAGTAATTCTGGCTAAATGACTGCATAAAGTTAACCCTTATTCTATGTTAAGTCAGATTTACTCACCAAATCACAGGGAAAAAAATAACAAACATGACAATAAATAATGATGTTCTTCCACTGACATAAATTACTAGAGCTACAACTCATTACTGAAAAGAAAGAAGTTTTTATTACTGCAAAATGAAAGGGCAATCTATAGATAACTAAAATAAAAAATGCTGCATATTCACAAAGAAGACTGGGTATGGGGTAGCCATTTATGGGGAGAGCAGAGATTATTACTTTCATTTTTCATTGTTCTTAACACTTGAAAGAGAAATAAAGGAACTTTTAGCACGATAAAGAGGCTTACTCTGAACTCAGAAGAGTAGTGAAAAAACAAAATAAAACAAAAACTAAAAATGTTCTCTGTTGCCACTTCTATTTGATATATTTTTCAGAATTCTTCCTGGCCATCAAAATAAGGTGGCAAAAAGAAATGACGATAAATATAGCAATGGAAAAGATACCAAAACCAATCATTTTTTACAAATACTACAGCCACATATTGTGAAAGATTTTAAAATCATCAACACCATCAACAAAGTGAAAAGACAACCCACAGAATGGGCGAAAGGATTTGCAAATCATAGTTGATAAAGGACTTGTATCTGGAATATATAAAGAACTCTTACAACTCAACAATAAAAAAAGCAAATAATCGAGTTTAAAAATAGGCAAAGGATTTGAATAGACACCTCTCCAAGGATGATATACACATGGCCAATAAGGACATAATAAAATGTTGAACATCCTTAGTCATTAAGAGAATGAAAATCAAAACCACTTCACAACTACTAGAATAACTAAAATTTTAAAAGATGGACAATAACAAGTGTTGACAAGAATGTGGAGAAATTGGAACCCTCATATCTTGCTGGTGGGACTGTAACATGGAAAAGTTTTGCAATTCCTCAAAAAGTTAGAGTTACCATATGACCCACATGTTTTTACACCCAGATAGGAATATACCCAAGTGACATGAAACATATGTCCACATAAAAACTTGTTCACAAATGCTACAGGCAGAATGTTTGTGTGCCCCCAAAATTCAGATGTTAAAGTCCTAATCCTCAATGTGATTGATGGTATTTGGAGATGGGGTCAGATGGGAAGTAATTAGGTTTAGATGAGGTCATGAAAGTGAAACCACCATGAAAGAATTAGTGTCCTTATAAGAAGATGAAAAGACCAGAGCTCTCTGCCAAGTGAGAAAATAGCAAGAGGGGTCATCTGCAAATCAGGAAGAGGGTCCTCACCAAGAACTCCTGACCTCAGACTTCCAGCCTCCAGACTATGAGAAATCAGTGTTGTTTAAGCCACCCAGTCTATAGTATTTTTTCTAGCAGCCCAAGTTGCCTGAGACAACAAATGTTCATAGCAGCATTATTCACAATAGTCAAAAAGTAAAAATAACCAAATGTCCGTCAGATGACGAATGGATAAATAAAAAGTTGTATAACCATACAATGGAATATTATCTGGCAATAAAAAGTAGCAAAGTTTTGATATATTCATCAACATTAAGGAAGCTTGAAAACATGCTAAGTGAAAGAAGTCAGTGGCAAAAGGCCACATACTATATAATCTTATTTATATGAAATGTCCAAAATACATAAATTCACAAAGACTGAAGTATATTAGTGGTTACCACGATCTATGGGGAGGAGGGAAATGGGAGTGACTGCAAATGCACTTCAGAGTTTCTTTGGGGTGATGAAAATTTCTAACAATAGATAGTGGTGAACACTGTGAATATACTAAAACCATTGAATTGTACACCTTTAAAGAGTGAATTTTACGGCATGTAAGTTATATCTCAAAACTGTTATTAAAAAACAAGAATCAGGGGCGCCTGGGTGGCTCAGTCGTTAAGCTTCTGCCTTCGGCTCAGGTCATGATCCCAGGGTCCTGGGATCAAGCCCCGCATCGGGCTCCCTGCTCAGCGGGAAGCCTGCTTCTCCCTCTCCCACTCCCCCAGCTTGTGTTCCCTCTCTCACTGTGTCTCTCTCTGTCAAATAAATAAAATCTTTAAAAAAAAAAACAAGAATCAATAAATCAATTCTTAGAGAAAATGTAGATAAGGATATATGAGATCATTTTAAGAGAATTATTAATGGCGAAAATAAAGTCTTGATAGATATTCTCTGCACTTGCATAAATACATTACAAGTGATAATACTCTCCAAGTTATAGATATAATATATAAAATCTCTTAATTCAAGTCCAGTTAAGATACCAATATGGTAATTTATAAAATTTGACAAAATGAAAGTAAAATGTATTTTAAAAAATAAGAATACCTGGGCAGAAGACATGAACAGACATTTTTCCAAAGAAGGCATCCAAATGCCCAACAGACAATGAAAAAGTGCTCAACATCACTCAGCATCAGGGAAATCCAAATCAAAACCTCAATGAGATATCACCTCACACCAGTCAGAATGGCTAAAATTAACAATTCAGGAAACGACAGATGTTGGCGAGGATGCGGAGAAAGGAGAACCTTCCTACACTGTTGGTGGGAATGCAAGCTGGTGCAGCCACTCTGGAGAACAGTATGGAGGTTCCTCAAAAAGTTGAAAATAGAGCTACCCTACGACCCAGCAA